CCGTGGTGGCTCAGGGAATAGAGCGTTCGCATTCCAATGAGGTGAACTGGGTTCGAATCCCGGTGATGGCTGGTCGATACGAATTCAGTATCCGGCTTGCGCCGACCACAGTGCTGACGTGAAATATCCTCAGTGGTAGACGGATCATGGGTTAGGGTACCTTTGCCGTCAGGCTAACCGTTGGAGATTCTCGTGATCTTCCTCTCCATGTAGATCAAAAAATCCTCCGCGGAGGCAAATTTCTCCCAACACTTGTTCCAGGAGTTCTCTTGTCTTCTGGATTGTGCTAAAAATTACAAGGCTACGTAGTTGAACATTAGTAGGCACAAACCCAAAAATTGGATCGGCTGTTCAACGACGGTAATAAAATAAAATAAGATGACTGCATGCAAAATGTTTATCCCTTCATGATGGATGTGCGCCCATCACTTCAAATTAGGGTAACTTTTGATGGATCATGGTCGTCCTCACTTGTGTTTACCACCCTCTACCGTTTTGTGTTTATTACCGTACCAAAATGAATGAAGAAAATTCTTGATCTCTTAAGCTTCCAAAAAAATATAGATATGTTAGTTTAGATAAAAGTGCAAGAAATAATAAATCACGATTACAATTGTAAATCTGCTTGTTACTAAACAATACAAATCTAATCAATAGTAATCATTAATAAACGATTATAAGTAATAATGATTCACGATTACAATAGTAAACCTTTTTTTCCTACAGTTAGTTCACATTCTCCCTTGTTCAAATTTTCAGACGTTAATAAAATACTTTCTATTTATCCACTCAAGTGTTCAAATACATTTTCTTTTTAAAAACTTGTAGTGGATGACACTTGATGTTGATAGAGTTTCTTCAAATATTAATTCACTCATTAAATAAAGACGAGTGAAAAACGAAATGGAATTTTCTGATGGCGTTAGTCATTGTTTTAAATTTTACTATAAGCGATTCAGTTTTTCACATACAGTACAGAACCCGTTATCCGGAAATCAGAAAACCGGAAAACCAAAAAACCGGAACGAAATTCGATAAATTTTCCCGCAATTTTTTAAAAAAAAAAAAAATTTTTTTTCCTCATAAGATTTTAGGATTTTTCTTTCTTTTTTGAAAGATGTTTACCTTACCATCACTTCAGAAATAATCATTAGTGTATTACCTCATCGTTTTTTCTTATTTTTAAGATTATTTACAAATATATATATTTTTTTAGTTGTGTTTAACACTAAAAAAAACGGCTTTTGTAGCGATTCAGAAAACCGGAAAAATCAGTTATCCGGAATAGCGATAGTCCCGATCGTTCCGGATAATCGGTTCTCTACTGTATTTTAAAAATATCATCAGTAATAATTTCTTATTTATAGCTCTATTTGAAAAAGAGTTTATTGTGCACATTTAAATATTTAATTATTTTACATTCGCTGCGTCAGATAAATTCAATAGCACGTGGTAGCACGTGTGGTCTAAGCCACAAAATGTATACTTTTACAGTTGTCTGATATCACGCTCCTTTTTTTTTTCCAATTCCTTCACTCTCTCCCTACATATATTTAACTCCTTATATATTCTACCTATACAATATATTATCTTGTTCAAATTTTCAATCGTTTATAAAATACATTTTATTCATACACTCAAGTTCAAATACTTTTTTTAAAAGATACTTTTTGTATATTACTTCATTAATTTAATTTAATTAATTAATTTTAGTTCTACATGAGGAAAAAAAATTGTAATTGCTTAATAAAAAGTAACTAAAGAATTTATTTTCATTGTTGACCTAAGTAGAAATTAACTTAACATTTTTTTATATTACTTGTATATAATTTTTATGCAATATACTTGTATATAATCCTTTTTTATGCAATCGAATTTTTACATTAGAAATACGCTTTCATTCATCATTACAAGATAACATGAATAACGATAACTAAGCATGATATGTAAATAACATGAATAAGGATATATAATTCAAGCTTAATTGCTGTAACGTTAAGCCGACAAGCGCAACCACATGATTGGGCCAAAGCCGAGCGATTGAATTGACATGGTTAGGCCTCATCAGTCATCACGTATCCTTCTTTTCCAGTTACAAGTACCTGATTGTAAACTTGTTTTTACTCAAACAATTTTTACGCAATTGTAATGATACTTACAGGAAAACATTAGCTACGATTATAAGTAATAGCGATCCATGATTACAATTATAAATCTGTTTATAATCAATTGTCATCATAATTACAAATCCATGATTATAACTAATCATTTTTCATTAATTCAATATTGTTATCATCATAATTTTAAATCTACGATTGTGAGTAATAACAGCTGGATTAATATTTATGAAATGCATACCTGATTAAATGTAAATGTAATTACTGTGGCTTAATTGATTATAAGTAATTGATTGGCTTCATTTTAGTGAAATATTCTGTGATAACAAATAAAAGTAATGAAGCAAAAAAAAAAAAAATAAAAAAAAATAAGAAGAAAATTTTTTTTTTTTTTACTTGTAAATTTTAGAACCAAGTAACTTGTGAAAATGAAATATGCATTTTTATTTTTACAACATTCTTTATAATTTGCAAAGAAACCTTGTTTTCAGTGAATTTTAGAATTGAATAAGATGAAAAAAAAAAAAAAAAATACAGAATGTAGAGAAAACATGGAAAAATCTCAGAACGATGAAAATAGGGAAAAAGAAAAATAATAATAATAAAAATCCGGAAAAATAATAATAAATCCGAAGAAAGCAAAAAAAATTAATAAAAATCCAGAAAATAAAAGATATAATCTTTTCATCAGCTCACAGTATTATATCAGCAAAAACGAGTGTTTTCTAATATTGTATCAATATAGCCAAAGCAAAATATGTCAGTACAATAGTGTGAGGACACTAAAAAAAATGCTATATATATATATATATATATATATAAAACCGACTTTCCCATTTCATAAAAAAATATATATATATGTATCAAGATTATAATTTTTTGTAATTAATACGTAAAAAGGAAACAATTAAAAATTGCAAAATCATGATTACTTTTTTTGTTTAACTAGCACTTTAATCTTCAAAAATTAATTTTAATAAAAGTATATTTTGAAATGTATTTCTTTTTAATTAATATTATTTCTTTTGAGTTGATAATATTTGTAATTTATGCACACCACAGAAAAAAATGCACCTTGAATATCTTTTGATCTTATGATAGGATTTTTACGTACCTAAGATGCAATTTTAATGTTTCATGAGGAACACCTTAAATAGATCATAAATTCGTACATATAATCTCAATAGTTAAGAGTCCAATTCTAATTTCCCCGTCTCCAATGTTGACTTAGGGAGATTTCGCTAATTAATATTTATATTTTTTTTGATGCACTAAAATGCATTTTACAGAATTTAATTGCCAAATTATAATTTTCAAGGTTTTAAGTACTTCATGTTTTTTTTTCCTTTAAAAATAAACCAATATAATTGTTTCTTTGGTAAAGTTTGATAAGTTTAAAAAAGTGCTTAATACCTGTAAATATTAAAATTTTGAAGTAAGTTTCAAGAATACACTTTAAATGAATAAAATGAAACAAATAATGTTTTAAGACATTGAATAATAAGGAATCGGTAACTTTTTAATTCTCCGTAGGCTAACACGCTTAGTCAGTAGCGTAGTTTCAATGCATATTCGGGGAGGTGGGATACTCGGCTATATATATATATATA